ATCTTTAAGATATATGCTTTACACTTTCTAGACCGCATATGTAGAAATGCAGTTCAGCCCGCATGAAACAATTTTCCTCAAGTCCATCTCAACAAGGGTAAGTAGTATTATCAAATTGGGAATGCAGAAGACTACAGAAATAAACAATGAAAAAAAGAAATATACCTACCAATCAATAAATATATATATATATATATATAGATAGATAGATATATAGATAGATAGATAGATAGAGAGAGAGAGCTCACATCTTATTCACAATCCTCTGCCTAGACTGAGCTGAAAGCTCTGTCCTCCAATCGTTAGCATCCGTTAGAACTAGATCACCCTTGCCTTGAGCAGGCATCCAACTACCGTTATCCATGCTATTCAAAAACCCAAAAGTATTGTATAAAACCTCAAGAACTAATCTTTTATTCCCCTGTGACTATCAGTATTCCAGCCAACTCTCAGAGCTCGTAAATTTCAAGAAGCCAATGATGTTTTCTTCCCCAAAAAGGAAACCCAATTCCTGATCCCCAGGGCTCTAAATACTGGAAAACCTTAACAACCTACAAACGTTGTCTTCTCCATTGCCTAAAAAACCCCAATTTCAAATCTAAAAAATATCAATACCACAAAATTCAACCGCTCATGATCCTTTCTCCTCGAGGGCCCAAAAACGAAAACCCTAAGTTTGCAATCAGAGGGTTAAGAGAGAGAGCATCAGAGGGTTAAGAGAGAGAGCGAGTTGAATAATTGAGCCACAGAGGGTTAAGATTGAATAATTGAGCCACTGTGGCAATTGTAATTGTGAGAGCTGAGAAGTGGCGGTTAAGTTTGGAATAAAGTTGTCACTGTTAAAAAAAAAAAGAGATGGGGGAATAAAGTTGTTCTTGTTCGCGAGATGCGTGGTTGACTCGGTTGCAAGAGCGAGAAAGGCGAATGCAAAAGAACGGTAACAAAGAAGTATCAGTATAAATGCTCTCGCGGGAGCATTGTACCTTTATCCCTCAGGATACACTCGCGAATTAATTGTCATTGCTAAGAGATCACTATTTTCGTTACAAAAAGAGGTCGTCATGCCCGGTAGCCATGAGACGTTGAATGGTAGCGTTTCGAAAAAAAAAAAATTTGAGTGATTTAGTACGGACTCTAAAACTTTTAGATAAAATATGAAAATGCTCCACGTCTACTCTTTTTTTGTTTTCAAAATTGTTTCTCATTCAAACTGAATTTTGATTTTTTTTAAAAAAAATTTGCTTTTTGTTAGTAGGACATTGCCATAAAGCTTGCAGCATTGTCTAACAAACAAAAAAAACTAAAAATCAAAATCCAAGTTGATTGAAGGGCAATTTTAGAACAATATAAGGTAATTATCATAAATATACATTAATTTAAGTTTAATTGGAAAAAAAAAAAACCAAACTTTCTTAAACCTCGTCTACACATTTTTTTTCTCATTTTCGGGTTTTTTTTACGATAATAACTTTCACAATAGTAGTATTACCATGAAGGACATTACGGCACTTTAAATATCGTAATATTTAGTGTATTTTATATACTTTAAATACCATAATACTTAAGGCATTTTCATACAGTAGTTTAAACACCGTATAAAAATGACTTCCAATCTCTCATCTTTTTTATGTTTCTCTCATAAAAAGAGAGAAAAGATTTAAGTAAAGAAGATTTAGAGAAAAATACTTTTTCATCTCTCATTCTTTTTATGTTTATATCTTATTTATTTTTCTGATTCTTTTTAATATTTATCTTTTATTTCTCTATCAAATTCTTTTTTATCTTTTTTTCTCTCTCTAAGTCTCTTTCTCTCTCCAAAGAGATTTCTCTAAATCTTTTCTCTCTCTAACCCTCTTTCTCTCTCCATGAGATTTGAATAACAACATGTGTGTACCTTACTTTCCCTTGTAAAACTCCTTTCAACCCTATCCCCTATGAAAATTAGATGAAGTCAGATTTATATCACATTGGAATAGTTGGAATCGTATTTATCGAGTTGATGAAGTAAGTAGAGAGAGAAAGAGAATTAGAGAGAAAGAAGAGATAAAAAATTAACGCGAGAAAGAGATAAACATAAAAAAAAAAATTTATAGGGATGAAAGAGATAAATATGAGGAGAAAAGGGTTTATGGGGTGTCGTATAACATGGTTAGTTTTATGGTACTTAAAATACCGAATAACATGGCTTAGTTGAGAGTGCTCAAAATCGGTTAAGCTTATGTGGCCATCTCCTCTTATGTGGCCATCTTCTCTCACTAAAACGTTTTTGGGCTTTATACGGTATTTTAAGTACAGTATTAAATGCGTTAAGCATTGTACAAAATTGCTAAACATTACGGTATTACAACTATCGTGAATGTTATTTTGATAAAAAACAACCTGAAAATGAGGAAAAAGGGTGTAGACGAGGTTTATGATAGTTTGTGGTTTTTTCCTATTAAGCTAAAATTAAAGTATATTTTTGATAATTTCTCAAAAATATAAAAAAGCGGGGTTGACAACCTTCTTTGTAATTTTCGCATATAAGTAGACCATTTCGTATTTTACGTAAAATTTTGGAGTCCGTAAATCACTCTTCTTTTTTTAAAATTTTAAATGTAATCAATATATCTTCTATATATATAATATAAGCACATTTGTGACCAAGAAATTCATCTTAGATTTGGAGTTTGGTAAGGATGGAGAATAAAGATAAGTAACTGAATTAGCATGATAAAAGGAAGTGTGGCCATGTGTTCATCTTCATCATCAATCAATCAATAGCAGACAATATAGGTTAATTGAATAGGTCGAATTGAATCTTCATGTGTTCATCTTCATCAATCAATAGCAGACAATATAGGTTAATTGGATAGGTCCAATTGAACTAATGCCAAGAAAATAACATAGAAGTTGATTTTATGAGCCTAAGGGTGTATGATCTCACACCACAAACTTTTACTAAAGACTCAAAATTTAAATTTTTTTTTTAATATACTTCTAAATATAGATCTCCATATTTACATGAAATATTATTGGTAGATAGTTTTCTTGATGGACCAAATATACAATGTGTCCTTAAGGGTGCACTTTAAAAATACTAGTGTTATACTCCTACGTTGCACGTGGTATAGTTTATTTAAAACATAGTTGTTAATATGAATTACCATCACCACCATTACTATCATTAGCATTATCTTATTGAATAAATAAAATATTTATTTTATTTATAGATATTATTTAATAATATATAATATAATATATTTATTTTATTTATAGATATTATTTAATAATATATAATATAATATATTTATTTTATTTATAGATATTATTAAATAATATAAAATAATCATGTATAATGTAATAACACTGATGCCACAATAATAGATTCAAACAATTGATAAAATAGTAGAAAGCTAGCTTTCTTTTCTTATTTATTTTTCAATATTTATAATTTTAGTTATAAATGATTTAAAGTTAGCATATTTAATTTTCAATAAGACGTAAATTATTGAATAAGAATTTTATAAAAAGAGATGAATTTCTATGGATTGAAAATAGTAAAGATTTACAAATTTATTATAATGAATTTCTCAGTTTTGCACACAAATTATGCTCACTTTTTAAATAATTGTTTTGGATTTTTTCTCAATTATTTGTGATCAATTTTATTTCTGTTCATAAATTCTTAGGCTTAAGAGTTATTACAGTACATCAAAGTCACCTCTCAATATCGAAATGAGTTGGCAGGTTATTTATAAATGATTTAAAGTTAGTATATTTAAGTTTCAATGAGACGTAAATTATTGAATAAGAATTTTTAAAAAAGAGATGAATTTTTATGGATTGGAAATAGTACTCAGTTAGAAATTTATTATAATGAATTTCTCAGTTTTGCACACAAATTATGCTCACTTTTTAAATAACTGTTTTGGATTTTTTTCTCAATTATTTATGAGCAATTTTATTTCTGTTCATAAATTCTTAGGCTTAAGAGTTATTATTATACATCAAAGTTTCCTCTCAATATTGAAATGAGTTTTCAGGTTCCGTATTCAAGCTCTAGGAACAACAATTCGCTTCACGTTGTTTTCGTGGTCTACAAATACCTACAATGCAATTTGGATTTGTGATGGTTTTCTTTTAGAATGTGCTAGTCTTGCATCAAAGCTATACTTATCAAAAAATACTAATATTTAAAATAATTTAAATGGAAGAGAGAAACATAAGCTACAACAGTACACTAAACAGGAAAAAAAAACTAAAGCTTCGAACCCCAACTTCTCCAAGTCTTTAACTAAATATTTTTTTCTTTATAAACAATAATAGATAATTGATCCACACATCATACATACTGAATCGGAAAAAGGATATTAATAATATTAATTTTATAGGTACCCCGTCATCTTTATGTTGGGCCAAAACCAACCTCATAAGGTCTTTGAATCTGCAGCATCACGTAGATATAGGAAACCAATCTACAAAACCAGTTCAAGATACCAATACATGATATTTGAGAATATATAATAACATAAAAGAAAATGAGAATAAACGTACCTATTTAGAGAAAGAAAATGTGACCGCCGTACAAAAAGGAATTGTAAATGGTTGTATTGCGCATGAAGCAAATGATTTAGAGAATGAAGATGTGATCACTTGAAGAGAAAGAATGCAGTTGTTGTATGGTTTGTGAAGTAAAGCATCAAAGTTTAAAGAGAGAGAGTTTGAGCATCTTTTTACACCCGTTCTAATAAATATATAACAAAAAGTGGGTAGGCCATGGCTGCGCATGAGTATGATTATTTGGGGAGAGAGAATAAATAAGAGGAGAGAAAGAGACGTGTATATATTTAATAAAGAAATTGTCAGTGAATTAAGGAAGTTGTTTTACATGTGAGCAAAGAGAGAAAATGGAAAAATTCGTGATTGAGAAATAACTGAAAACTTTTTAGAAATGAGAGAGAGCTTATTGAAAGCCGAGACAGAAAGAATAGAGTTTCCATAATAAATATCTATACCGTTACATATAAATGGGAGAACTGAAATAGCAATAGAAGGATATTCAGATGCATGCTATCTCGCAGATCCAGATAATGTGAAGTTTATACCTGGATATGTGTTTATGCTTGGAGGGGGTGTAAGTTTCTTGGAAGTCAAAGAAACAGGACATAGTGGCATTATCCACCATGGAAGTTGAATATGTAGCATGTTGCCTAGCAGCCAAAGAGACCGTATGGATTAAGAAGTTTCTTAATCAGTTCAGCTTTCAACCCGTATGTTGTGAGGCTGTGCGGATTTTCTGCGACAACACGACAGCAATATACGTTTCTAAGGAGCATCGTTTTCATAAAAACTCCAAGCATACTAAACCATATTTCTATCACCTGAGGGATGAGGTGAGATTGAGAGAGATCGAGACTAACTACATAACCACAGATTTGATGATTGTAGATCCTCTGACTAAGGTGGTTGCCCCTAATGTTTTTGTAAGACATGTGAGAGGGATAGGGATGAAAGAAAGTGAGGAAGAGAGACTGTAAGACCTTTAAAGGTCAAGTAGGAGATATTGGGTTTGTGTGGCCATTAAAGGCCTTATGAGTGAAGTAATGAAACATTTGATATAATGGATTACAAACTCAGTGGGAGTGTAGTCTCTTGTGGACCATACTATGCAAATAGTATTTGCATATATCGGACTGTGCTTGATGGTTTAGGCCAGTCGGTTGGGAAAAACTCATATTACTTGGGTATAGAATCTCAATCGATAAGGGTTCTAATGAGGCACCCCTTGATGAGGTCGGAATATACCCGGATGAGTGAGCCGATGGACTGTGTGACCCTTGTGTGTGATTGTGGCTTTCAAAGACGGGAGCCAAAGCCTCATCCATGTACCATTACACGGCAAACATATCGGTAGACCGTTTCGAGAAAGCAAGCCACATTTTAGAGTGAAGCAAATA